ACTACTATTGTACTACTATTCCTATGCGGTTTTTGACTTAGCGCGGGTCTTCTGGGTACTGATCCCCTGCGATAAACAAGGGACCACTGTATTTACATTTTAAGGCAAAAGAAAAGACTGAATCCATCCATTCATCCATCCATCATCTTTACACGCTTCTTCCTTTTCGGGTTGCAGGGGGTTACTGGTGCCCATATCCAGGTTGAAAGTTAATTAATAGTTAATGATTAATTAATTAATAATTAATTTATTATTAATAGTAGTTTATGAAAGCTGCTCTGTGATGTTGGTCTGCATAGTGTTTCATGATTTCCGTGAGCCATCTGTTTACCATAAAGTCACTACAATTATTCAACCTTGTTTATATTAAAAAGTAATCAAAAAGATCTGAACCATCAGTCTGAGCTGTAACCTCGATGCCACTCCTCTGTTAATCAGTACACCACGAAGCAGCTCCTCACTTCCCTCCTGGACAGCAGGCCGTGGAGCTCTCAATCCCACAATGCATCTGTGCAGCTGGATCCACCGATGGAGTGGAACTCATCGGGCTCTTTCGTTTTCCTGCCTTTGACTGTCTTTTTGCTCATGAAGGTAAAAAATAATTTAAAGGTCTCTTATTGAATTTGTTCTGCGCGTCTCTTTATTTTGTGTAATCTCATTAACATTTTCACAATGGAGTAAGCAAACAAAGCCAGTTTAACCTTTCAGGCTAAATGTGTCGTGAGATCTGATATTCATGCAGCAATGCTGCAGCAACACCAAACAACTTTGGTTAAATATCCTGATTCCTGCTCAATAATCCAGGTAAAAAATTCAACAAAGTTAAATCAGATCCTCTGGATGGTTTCTGTTTGTTGAAACATTTTGTTTCTCATCCAAAAGATTTCATCAGTCTGAGGAGCCACAACAAACAGTCTTATATCACCTTCTCATAGTGGGTCAACCAGTTTGATAGTGCTCAGGTGGTTTCTATAGTCCGCCCTCTTCCCCACCGACTTGTTTGAGGTAGAGATGCACCGATCCGATGCCGATATCTGTACCGATATCAGAAAAAAACTTCTGGATCGGGTATTGGTGACAATGCGACCGATCCATGACTGGGCAGATCTATTCACTCTAATTCTATGCTTTGTGCTCTGAGTGACGTCACGCGCTAGTGTACTGACTGAATAAATTAAAGTTGTGTTGTTTTTACATTTGACCAAACTTGTGAAGCTCTTGGTGTGTTTAAGTGCTGTTATCGTGCAGAGTTTTCAATAAATTTGTCATTCAGTACATTTGTGTCTGCGTTTAACAAAACAAATGTTTTAAGTTAATTCAGCACTGGGTTTGTAAGCTCAAACATCCAGGTAAACTACAAAAATGGTTAAATCATGTCATCTGGACCTGTTTCAGAAATGGGTCCAGATGACATGATTTAGTCATTTTTGTTAATTCAGCATTGTTTTTCCTGTATCGGATCGGTATCGATTAATACTAAACGGCAGATATCGGATCGGAAGTGGAAAAAAAGTGGATCGCTGCATCCCTAGTTTGAGGCAGTCATGGCCAAAGTGGTTCAAAATGTCCTGATTCCTGCTCAATAATCCAGGTAGAAAAATACAGCGAAGTTAAGTCATGTCCTCAACTTAGAAACAAAACAGACACTTTGAATAAGAAATTAATTAATCTAGAAAGGACTACAGTAGTCCCTCCATACTTCGCAGTTTGACTTTTGCAGGTTTTCAACGTAAGATTGTACACATTGTTTCCCAAGTTCAAGTCAAGCTTATTGCTATTCACATCACATGTGGTACATGAGGTGGAATTAAGTTATGTACACAGGATCCCAGTTACACCCAACAATAGCAAAAATATAAAAATAAACTGTAAGGATCTAAGATATACGCTAAAATGAACGCCAAATGCTACACTAAAAGATCTAAGGTATATGCTAAACACTAATAATGTAAAACAATATGGTGTTCAGCAGCCCAATGACAGACACCACCCCCCGGGGTCTGTCATTCCCCATTGCTGCTGTGGGAGCTTCAATGAGGCAGATACCAGAGTAAGCAGCATGGATTTTTTAATTGAAAATAATCAAGCGCAACCCAAAATGAGCCTTAACCCAAACCAAGCTGACCCAAACTGAACCGAACCGAGAAATGTCCCGGTGCTCCCTCCCGATGGCCAGTCCACTCCTGATGGCCAGTCCACTCCTGATGGCCAGTCCGCTCCCAATGACCAGTCCACTCCTGATGGCCAGTCCACTCCTGATGGTCAGTCCACTCCTGATGGCCAGTCCGCTCCCAATGGCCAGTCCACTCCTGATGGCCAGTCCACTCCCGATGGTCAGTCCACTCCTGATGGTCAGTCCACTCCTGATGGCCAGTCCACTCCCAATGGCCAGTCCGCTCCCGATGGCCAGTCCGCTCCCGATGGCCAGTCCACTCCCAATGGCCAGTCCGCCCCCGAGCGCTGATTGGCTCAGTAACCGTAGCATCAGTCTGTCTGCTCTTTTTTCTGTTCTCTTTTAGAGCGTTTAGGGAGTTTAGAACATTGTTAAAAATGTGTGAAGGGTTTATAAAGCCTTAATACAATATATAAATAAATACTAAAATAAATATAACTTCCCTACTTCAGATTTTCACCTATCGCGGGGGGTGTCTGGAACATAACCCCCATGATAAGTGAGGGACTACTGTATATCAAAAGCATTTTCTTACATTTTCTTAAGGAAAACACCTCAATTGCCTTTTGGATGTGCAGTTTTCAAGGATAAATTTACTCCAAGTCATTTTGCTGTTACCACATGAACATGTGAAATGGAAATAAGTCAATATTTATGAAAACTGAGGGCAGCACAAGGTGCGAGCAGAGCTGTGGGGATTTTTTTTTACAGTCTGTTTCTCTGTTGTTGCTTCGAAGATGTGGATGTTGGCCCTCGCCTGCACTTTGCCCCTTCCAGCCGGATACTTCATGCCGGTGTTTATCTGCGGTGAGTAATTGTTATTTTAACAGAAAACTGAACAGGTTTACAGTGAAACAGCATAAAATGTAAAACTTTGGCTGGGTTTATACATTTAAATCTGAAAGCTTTAAGGTTACAGAAACTCTTCTCATTATCTGATTTATTTTGTCTCCTCTAGGAGCAGCTTTGGGCCGTTTGCTTGGTGAAGGAGTGGCTTATGTGTCCTCTGGTGGAGGGATTTTAGGACCGCAGTGGGGATCTGTCAATCCTGGGGGCTATGCACTGGCTGGTAAAAAAAAAAAAAGAAGATAATAATGTTTATGCCTGTTTATGCCTGTTTATGCGTTTGTGTCTTTGACCAAAATATTTCATAAAGCAATGGACAAGGTTTGATGAAACGTACTGAAAGTAATTATTGGATGTAAATGCCAAGATGGCCGCCACAGCACAACTTCAAAAACCACAGAAATGGCTTTAATTCAGTGTTTTCTACATATATTGATTTAAAATTTGGTGATGTATTAGCTGAGGCTGATCCCCAATAGTTTGAGCACTAACAGACTGCGCAAGACTCATGCTTAAAATATTGCTCTTGACTTTTGGGAGTTTACATTGTCTGTCTGTTGTAGTGTGCTAAAACGGCTAGGTTAGCTTCAGCTACACTACAATTTTATTAAAATAACGGGTTCTCTCTTTTTCGAGCTTTACAGATATGTGACAGAGGTACTGTGCGTAGATGGTTTAATCAGTGACATGAGACGTTAATTTTCTTTGACCCATCAAAATAAATGTGGTCATTTATTAACAGAATCAAAATTTAACATCAAAACATTGTACACTTGATTAGATTGATCTGCTTCTGATTAATAAAACTTGGCATGTTTTACTTAATAAAACAACAGACATTTCTGAAGATATCTGGATTAATTACTGGCAAGATAGAAGAGTTTTAAAGATGGGAAATGAAGAAGTTTAAATGGAGAGAAAAGATGGATGAGGGAAAGTGTGTTGACTAGGAATGGCACCCTTCATCCGACTCCAGCTCAGCCCCGGTACACTCGGTAGTGAAGCGACTCGTTACCTTTGCAGAAGATAGGTCAGCTCCGGTACGGAGTTCCATTTCAACGCTACCTTAAGCATCTCCGGTCAGGATGGAATCGTCCGAAGTAGTGACGGTACTCCGTTCAACAAACACGCTCATCTCCCGGGTGAACTCACAGCGAGCTGTGAGTCCGTCAGAGGTTCCACTCAGATGTGGAAGACTCCATAGTCCCAACTCGACTCAGAAGACTGAAAAGCCTCAGAAGAGACTCAGAAGAACTCAAAAGACTCAGAGGAACTCAGAGGAACTCAGAGGAACTAACAGTTCCAGGAAATGTCGACTTTTAAAAAGTTCTGCTTCTGGTCACTTTTAGGAAGTCCTGATTGGTTGAAGCAACCAACAGGGGTGTGGTTCTAGTGACGTCAAAGGTTTTTACAAGTCGAGAAAACAGCAGAAATGTTTAGGAACAGACAGAGAAATGTTTTGACGAAGTGAGAAACACTGCAGGTGCCAGTTCTCTTGTTTACTGTCTGAGAGCTTTAAAAACACGACAGCTCGTTCTAACAACTTGTTTTCGACTGTCTCCGACTTTTGACCGACATCACTCTTCTCATTTCATACAGAAGATCAAAAAATGCATAATTACTTTGTAAAATAGACATTTAACTTGATTTCTAATTTGAATGAGGATTAAAAAAATCATTAATACTGTTTCACAGTTGATTTAAAATGAGTGGTTCACTTCAACATTTAAAAATGGTATGAACTAAACACACTTTTGATTACCAAGATATTGTAAAATAGTAATGATAATATAAAAAAGAGAGTGTTCTTTCAATTGATTAGTTCAGGATACAATTAGAAAGTCTCTGGATGAGCTAATTTGTATTTCTGGATTCAAATCAATGAAATAACAGTTCCTGTCCCATGAAGGTCTTCAGAGGCAGGTTTTGATCGGAGGCCAAGTTCACTACACTGTTAGCAAAATGTTTCACGAACCACTGGACAGATTTTACTGAAACTTTCAGGAAAGTATCACTAGATGTACCTCTAAAGTTGTTTATCTTTTCAAGCCAACCCAATTCAAAATGGCCACTACACCTTTTTAACATTCTGCAACACTAAAATGACAACAACACTATCAGTTTTACAGATATTGAGCTGAAATCTGAGTGAGTCAATCACAACAAATTAACTTGTGTTTTATTCTCATTCTAAGGTTCTACATCACAGGACAAAACTAAAAATTATACATATATATATATATATATATATATATATATATATATATATATATATATATATATATATATATA